ATTCGCCCATGGACTCGACAGAACCAAGAGAGGCATATGTTGCCTCTCCTCACTCGAGTGAACAACCAGAACGTGCTTCAGAGGCACAGGTGAGGATCACAGAGGCAGAGGGTCTAGAACGCCCTCTGTCTCCACTAGATCAAACTGTCAGGATAGGCTCTGAAACTACCGGACATGAGATCTACACAACACCGGTAGGCTCTCCTCAAAGAGATGTGCGAGGATCCGATGGAAGTCCCCGAGCAGGCTACGTAACACCAGCCGTTGAGGGCGCCTCAAGCTCCGAGGCCAAAGAACCACCATGTGTTGGTGATCCGATTACCTAGGATACCTATGTGACAAAGGGGGAGCTTCAAACACAGAGGTGTTCAAAAAGATAGATGAGTTGAAAAGCTTGTTTATCTCACACTCAATGCCACAAGACCTCAATTCTCTCACAGAAGYTCTGAAGGAGTTATCCTCCACAACTGCCGATTTGAAGACTACTATAGTAACCCTTCAGAGCTCTGTCCTTCAGAAGGATGATCTAGCATAAGCCTTTCAATCAATGACGCTCAATCCATCTTCTATCAAGACGTTGAAGACTGAACTCACAGAGCTGGCCGCTCAATTCACAGCCGATTTCGTCTCTGCGGGCTACACGGATTACTCTTCATTCAGAGACGAAATCAAGCAGATGTTCTCCTCTGCGGTCACCTACGGCCTTGACACCAAGACCTCAAGGGCCAACATCAATCATCTGACAACTCGCAGAGAGCTAGATGCTATGGTGGAAGCCCTAGGGGATGTTGTGACCAAGAACATCGCTCAACTTCTTAAAAAGGCATGAGCCTCCAACAAGGCAATCACAGAATCCACTAGACAACTCGTGAAAGAGGGTGACCTCCTCAGAAGTGAGATATACAGAAGCGTCTCAAAACTGAAGTGGGCAACAGAGATAGACATCAATCACGCCTCCGAACTTGCAAATGAGGCCATCAAGAAGATGAAGAAGGCCGCCATAAAAATTTTGCAGAGGTTGGAAAAAGTTCCCCTGAGTACATGCAAGGCAGACGCCATACAGAGCCATGACGATCATGAAGGTGATGATGATCGTCATGAGGGGGAGAAGAAGGAGGAAAAGAAGACTTCTGCCAGAGTTCCTGCCAAGGGTGTCAAAATAGTGGAATCTACAGCCGATCTGTTCTCAAAAAGCAAGGGAAAGGCTCCAGAGCCTAGTGGCAAAGGAAAAGGCAAGGCCGTAGAGGAACCACAGAAGGGCTCGTCATCAAGCACAGAGACCCCCAAGGAAATTGATGAAAAGGAGTATGCCGATGACCCTGAGCTCCTCAAAGTATTGAAATTATCTCTGGCAGAGGCTCTAGCGAAGAAGGGCAGAATTCCAATGCACCACAGAGAAGAAGAAGCCATGTCTTCCTTATTCCCACAAGTCCAAGAAACGTCCACGGGTACGTTTGATGCTCTGCAAGGATCTGTCAAACCAATCCTTGCAGAGGGATCGACCCAGAGGCCAATTTTGGAAGAAGAAGAGTTCAAGATGACAGAGGCTTCCACAGCAGACAGGGTATCTGAAATACTTGAGTCCATGAACAGAATTCCAATACCTGAAGTCAAAATAGTACCTGTTACATCTTTGGAAGAAGTTCTGGTGTGGAAGTACTTTGCGGTAGACACAGAGCCCCCATATGATCCAGAACTTACAGGGATCCCCTCTGCCGCAGCAAAATTTCATTTCACCAAATTAACAAGGCCTCATGAGCAGATCTTCTCATGGCACATGATCACTTCATTGGTGGCAATCTCACCAAGGACCTTGTTAAAGAAGACCGTGCTCTACACACAGTATGTCATAAGGAGAGAAGATGGCAACTTCTACACGTTCACGGATGCTGATCTTCACAACCTTTGCGTGTTTGATGTCATCTATATGCACAAGATTCTAAACATCTACATGGAGAGAAGGTCCAGCTACCAAATATCGCTCAGAAGGCTGGTTGAGGTAATGTGTGAGCAAGTAAGGTATTACAGCCAGAAGGACTTCGAGTTGGCCATAAGATTAGTACAGAAAAATCTAAAGATATCTCCTCCATACAGCAGGCCCAGTTGGATATCTAGGTACTCTCCAAACTCCATCATACACAATCCCGTTTTTGGGTTTGTGTATTTGGATAAGGATGATATCCTAAGGTTCTATGACCCAACAGAGTCCCACAAATACTCAACAAAGACATTAATATGGATTTTCAAAAGAGTGGTGACAGAGGTGGATAGAGGTCATCTCAGATCAGGTGAAGTGTCTCCCATCTTGAACGCGATCAAAGTTCAAATCAATTTCAGAGAATGGATTTTCAATGTCTACAGAACGATCAAAGCTGACTTGCTATACGCGGTAGACGATTTTCTAGAATCTGCGGTCTGATAACCTTCTGCACCAGTTTTTGGCCTAAGCTTCACATTTTTTTGTATTTCAGTCTTGTAATTCATTTCTTCATTGTAATTCTTTCAGAGGATGATGTTTTATCACCTCTTGTAATTTCATTTCAATCAAGTCATGTCCTTGCACTTAAAATTCAATTTTTACTTTTTCATACTTAGGGGGAGATTGTTAGCTCTCATTTCATTAAATGTAAAAGTATGGAAAAAGTAATACTGCAAGTGTTGACAGAAGATGATCTGTCACAGAAGACCACATAGGACCAATAGCAGAAGATGCTCAAGCGTACAAGTCTCAAGTGACAGAACCTCTGTCGTGTCTCACAGAGGTTCTGGAAGATATCCTCTACTTCAATATGCTTTCAAGTTATATCCAGCAGAGCCTCTGTGATGTCTCACAGAGGGTCTGCAGCCTGTCTTCTGTGCAGATATTCTTTAGCTGTTTTACTTAGGTTTATTAGCTGCTCGTTCTTATCACGTGTTCTTGTCTGTAATCTGTTTTGATCGAACGACTTAGATTAATTTGCTTTAGGTTATGTCAGAAAAAACGGTTACTTACTTGTATAAATAGCATCGTAGACCCTTGTATTTCAGTGTGCTTCAGTATTGTAATTATTAACATTTTCATTCTACTGAAAATCATTTGAAGCTCTCTCTTGTGTTCATCAATCTTCATCACTGTGTTCTTATTGATTTTTACTTTGGTTGATTCTTATCTTTTTCACTGCATCATCACTGTCAAACAGATCATCCAAGTAAGTAATTAATACCAAGAAACCGAGTTAATCGATCCTACACTTACCCCCGAGGCACTATTAGCCACCCTTCCTAGCTCTTCAGTGATATCTGAGGTCACTGTCGCACCAGTGGCTCCTCACCCAACCGCCTCAGTGACCCAAATCACTGAAGGTGTGAATATCAACGTCGCCACTGCTGAACACCCAATTCCAACAGCCTTAACCATCTTCTCCTCTCCCCCTTCTATATTGGTCTCAACACGTGTCAATGAATCAACAGTGCCAGTACTTTCTGATGATGAGACACCCACCACTGGACCTGAGGTAGCTCCTCTAGAAGCACCTCAACATACCGGTGCTTATCCTCTCGAGCGCACCATGGAGCCAACCAGCGTTAATCCTTCAGATAACGTTGAAGACCCCTCAGGTACTTCATCTTCCTACCCAATCAATTCATCTAACCCTAAGCTTCCTTATGCTCATTCTCATTCCTTTTCAGGTCCTTATGAGCGCCAAGCCATGGACGGACGTGAAGCTGCTCCTCCCAGCAGTCGAGACTGTCTTCATCAAAATGGGCGAGGTCCATAAAGACATGTCCCATAGGGACGAAGTCACTGCTGACCTCTCAGCCGTCAGGGTAGAAGTTCAAGAGGTGAAAGGCCAGCTCTCCTCTCTGCAAATGGTTGTTCAAGCCAATGCTGAGGCCATTGCTGCTCTAACGAGCAAGGCCGATGAAGCACACACTCAGTTTTTCCAGCAAGCGGAGCTAATGCAGCAAGTCATGGTTGCTCTCTGTCAACCAGCTCTAGTGCCTCCTCTTTCTTTTACCGTTGATGACTGTGTCCAACTTTATGAAGCGCGTTAACGACGATCAGCCTAGCCAGCACTCTGACGCAGCTAGAGGAGATAATGGTGCTCCAAATACAAAGCGTTGACCAACACTCTAGCTATTGCTCTCAAGCCATCGCTAGAGAGGGGGAGATAAGCCCTGCCGCTAGACCAACCACTGTTGCTGCTGCCCCTGTATCCATTGCTTCAGCAACCCATGAAGTTGAAGCTGAAGTTGACGCTGAGGTTGTCAATGTTATCTGAACCTCCTATGAAGCTTCTGTAGCTGAGGAAGTTGATGTCGTCCGAGCTGAAGCCTGCGACGATGACCTTCCCATCACCTTTGTAGCTAATGTTGGTGATGTGGAAGAAGACAATGAAGATGATGATGATGAAGAAGGTGAATCTCCCGACCTCCCTGACTCTGGCAGCAACCTAGATGACAATGACGATGATCATGACGACAAAGACGACGTCGCCATCCAGTTCCAAGGTCCTTCTACTGCCACCAAAGGTGTCGCCCTCAAGGATTACGCATCCTAGGTAGAGCAAAGGGTAGATGAGGCTACTCAAGAATCGCACCAGGGCACCAAGTCTAAGAGTAAAGGTGTCGCTGAAGAAGGAAACCTCAAGGTACTCTTCAAACCCCTTGAACCCTTATATGATGAGTCCTCAAGACAAATAACCATCACCTCCATGTACCAACTCTCTATTCCCTCGACTACCTGGGGTCGATTGGAGGAATAGGTCCTTGAGAACCCAAGCCCCAGCACTACTACCGACCAACAGATGACTTAACTTAAGGAGTCACTCGACCAAACTAGAGTAGAAATCCCTTTTCGTACCTCTAGTCGTGGTGAGTTCGACTTTTTGATCGAAGCTGAAAGACTCAAGGCTCTCAAGGCCAAGGAAGAACTTGCACTTCAAAAGAAACAGACTGTGGACAACTTAAAGCTGGCCAAGTCTCTAGCCGCAAAAGTTCTTCGCAAGAGAAAATCCAAAAATACGGTGAACATTATCCCGGCCCAAGCTAAGCTTTTGTGTACTACAGAGACTAAACATGAAAAGAACCTAAAGCTGGCCAATCGTGACAAGTGTTGGAGCGAAGTAAGCCAATCGTGACAAGCATCAGCATCAGCGGACGAATAAAATACGGTGGGTTGCTAATCTCCATTCTCATCGCCAGGGATAATCTCGAGGCAGTCACCGAGTACCCTTCCTACCTTGGCGAATATGGCTAGAGCGAATGGCTAGAGATTTGATAAGCCATTCAGCGCTCAAAGTCCAAACATAAAACAATTATCAAAAACTTCATCAACGAGATGATCAAGTAGGTGTCCAGGTATGTTGCAGTCCCTGAAAGGCGAACGTTGAAAAAAGGTGGAAAAAGAAATAGGCCTTCAAGCCCTAATGATGGACCATCCCTGAGGAACGAACATGAAAAAAAGTTCTCCTTTGATGAAGTCCCAAAGGCTTCGAAGAAGCCAGACATATCGATCTTGAATCTATCACTGCCAGCGAAGGGTCCTTACATACCTAAAACTGTGCATGTGAAGCCTGAGTTAGGACTTATATTCCTTGAATAATTATCATGCTTTGAATACCTAAATCTCTTAAACTAAGGCTCTAATACCACTTCTATAACACCCCCAAACTCCATATTTGCATATAACACATATTTCATTACATGGAAATATAGTTTACATCCCAAGGTCCCACTAGTACAAGGATTCTATATGTACAAAATCTACATATGAAAAATTCCAAAACAAATCTTGTACTAACACATGTAATACAACATGAATCTTCAAAATAAACAATCTTAAGCAGATCTTCAAAAGCAGATAACAGGTTAGGAAAATAATCACATTTTCCCTTTCCATTTTATAACCCTGGACCCCGCCATTCCTGCATTGCATAATTTTAAAACAGAAAATGAAGGTTAGACCATAAGGGTCTAGTGAGAAAATCCCTTCTTTGCAAATGCAGTGTGATAAACATCAAAATATAATAAAGTAATTTTGCTCTGAAATATTTGTAATACAATCCAATGATGCAGTTTTCAATGACATGTATAAAAGAATAAACTCACGAACCCGAGTTCTATTACTAAAATACATCTGCTTAAAGATTCAACATTCTCAATATGAAATAATATTGTAACCAAAGATTCTTCGAATCATTAAACCAATCCTTTGTAAATATTTAACAGAAAGATTTAAGGCTATACTTGCATTTTATGACAAACCATTTTCCCCTTCTCAATAACATCTAAATTAATACTTCTAATAAGAATAATATCTCTAATTCATCAGGTTACAAAGAAATGATGATTCAAAGTTATTAAATCCAATTAGTAATAATAATAATAATAAGAGTTATAATAATATCCACATATGATGATGCCTCCCTTATTCCAAGTACACCTCTCCTTCATATGTCACCCTTATCAGAACAGACAAAAGTCACCACGTCTGAAAGTACCCATTCCCAGTTTCAAACCGGAACAGACAATAGTCACCACGTCTGGGGAACTACCACTTAAAACAAGTTTCATACCAAAACAGACTTATGTCACCACGCTTGGTAGAAACATATCTTTTTATTTAAAAAGATATAAAATACCCTTTTATAAATTCATACTCCAACCCAATAATAGACATTTTTAACTATATAAATGTCTAGAATATTAAACACTTAAAATTTATCAAATATAAGTTATCCGGATATACAATCCGGACAACACTTGTCCTTTTTGTCCGATTTACTAATCCAGACAACCTAGGATTGAATTAAGGCTAAACCGTATGACTTATGTCCGGTTTAAGGCAATCCAGAAAACACATGATCGATTTAAGACTAAGCCGCTCAATACGTGATCGGTTTATAACTAATCCGCACGACCCTTAGGTGATTTGAGGCTAAACCGCACAATGCTTGGTCAAATTCATACTTCTCCGTTCAAAACCTTTGACCGGTTTACATATTTCAAAATTCTCACTAACACCCTAAATCACACTACACTTAAGTGATTTATGAATAAATCGGATGACTCTTATTCGGTTTAAGAATAATCCGGACAAGCTTTGTCCGATTTAGACTTAATCCGGTCACCCTTTGTCCGGATAAAACCCTTAATTGAATAACTGATTTCTTTTCAATCTATATGCAACATTCAATAAAAACTAGTACAAATTTTATACAAAGAGGTTTAGAAATCACTCACCTTTAAAACACAAATTCAGATTTTGAAGAAGAAGATGAATGCAAGACCAACTTGATTCTCCGGACAACTCTTCTCTCAAAATTTCCAAAATCTCAAAGAGGTAACAAACCTTTGCCTCTTCCAAAGCCCTCTTATTTATACTTTCCAAATTTGGAAATTCGGTTCCACTCCCCCATATGCATGCATATAACCAAATCATTCATGTATGCAAGCACAAAAAACACTTTTACATATTATTTCATATATTGCGCATATATATATATATATAACATATATATATACTTACACATTATGCACATATATTCTCATGCATAAACTACACATATTCACATATTTATTTCGTGTAAACATGTATCCATATAATCAATTAATTCACATAATAAATACCTTGGATAATAACCAGAACCCGGTTATCACAATCTTGGAGAAAATGTACTTGGCTTCATTAATATGAAAGACTTAGACTGGTCACTTTCCTTTCTAATTTGTCAATTCATTGTATAACTTGTATTCTATGTCACTTTCAGTGTTCAAATATATATTTTGTAAGTGTAAAGACATGTACTGAATGACTTGTAATTTTTCCTTTGAAATTTATATAAGTATTTATTGTGCATCACTGAACAAGATCCCTGAAAAGAGTAATAGGGACACAAGTCTATGAGTTCCAGTGTTACTCTTACATTCACTGACAATCTATAAGTCAGTGAACATGCTTTCAGTTTCAGTTTCCCTTCTTTTATTTTTTTCTTAAAATTGTAACTTAAGAAAATTTTCTAAGTAAAGACTAACTCACTGAAAAAGATCCCAAATTAGTTAAAAGGGACATGTACTTTATATGTAACTTTTCCTTACTGTAATTTGATAAGGAAACTTTCTTTATGTTGTTTTGTTATCATCAGATAGAGGGAGATTGTTGATCCTCTCTATCTCAGTGATTTGACAATAATCCCTTTTACCTTATACGAAGTATTAGTGTTTCTCTCTTTCAGTTCCTGCGATCATCACTGAGTTTGTTTAGTTATCGCTGAGAACATGTAATGTAAGTCCATCAGTGACAGCGACACTTCAAGAAGACAAAACTCACACCCAAGAACATTCAGCAAAAGTCGAAAACTGAAAATTATAGATTAGAGACTCCCAAGTTCGTGATTCGAAGCGGCATTCAATAATTACAACCTGGTCTACATATGTGTGAAGACTCCCCAAGCCTCAACAAATGTTGAAGAGACCTTCAGGGTTATTCCAGCCTTCAGCGATCAAAAGAAGCTTATTGAGCAAGATTGCTTTTGTCTTGTCCTTCCACACACAAAGGACAAATCCATACCCTTTATAGAGTATAGTACGGTATGGAGCCGATTAGTTGACTCTAGTACCCACCAACTCCATGAAATGATGTCTTCTCATGAATAGGCTTTTGTACTAATCACTATAGCAAAGGAAAAGTCTATCTCTAAAGACTTGACGTGTGTTCAAACCCTACTGCATTGCATAAAATGTGCATTTAATGCAATGAGTATAAATAGATATGTTCTATCTCCATGCAGAGATACTCTTAAATGCTAATTCTTGCATGCATACGTAAAAGAACACAATTCGCTTATCTTCAAAAGCAAGTTAGAATACCTTTTTAAGTATTTTAAATAGTTCTTACCAGAAGGAACTTACTTTCTTCTTAGTCTTAAACAACAAATCATTTCTCTTTGCTAAGAATGTATGTATGTAACTTAGATTTTTAGATATGTTATCTTTATCTTACCTTTTCCGCAAACAATCTTATAAAATACGTATTGATCCTTCTTTATCAATATATATTTTATTTTGGAAAAGTTTATTGTGTTTGTATTCATCCCCCCTTCTAGAAATTATTTATACACATCTTGTAGACCTTAACGGGACCAACGCTTTTTGAAAACTTTCCCAGAATTTTGATGTAAAGTGACTATTCGTGTCTGAGATGATAGACAACGGAATGCCATGTCTAGTCACAATCTCTTTAATATAGATCTTTGCCAATCTTTCTAATGAATAATTTTCTTTTATCGAAAGAATGTGTGCAAATTTCAACCAATGATCCACAGTTACCCATATGGCATCATATCCCTTTGGAGTTCGAGGTAATCTCGTAATGAAATCCATCGTGATATGATCCCACTTCCACACAGGAATCTCTAAAGATTGTAGATTCTCATATGGTCTTTGATGTTCAGCTTTTACTTGTAAACATGTCAAACATCTCTCCACGTACCTTGCTATGTCTTTCTTCAGTCTAGGCCACCAATAACATAGTTTTAAGTCTTTATACATTTTATTCGTT